TTTTTATAAAGATTGAATTATGTTAGAGATTATATTTGAGTCCTTATTTGTTTGACTTGGTTTTAAATGTTTTGATTGAGTATGAGGAAATCCTTAAATATATACTTTTAATGAATGATATAGTTTTATTGTGGAGATAAGAGAAGAGATTAACTGTAAATTTGAGTTATGAAAGAGAACATTAAAATCAAAAGGTTTTCACTTGAGTAGGAATAAGATGAAATATTTGCATTGCAATTTTGATAAAAGATCAATCAATAATAATTTAGAAGTGAAATTGGGAGATCAAATTATATTTCAAAAATTTTTTTTAAAATAATGTTTGAGCTCAAATTAAAGTTTAGAACTAGTAAAATGAAGTAACAAAAGCGTGAGAACAAACTAGAGCACATCCAATCATCAAAAATGAGCAAAATGGTCATTTCTCAAATTGGCTCATTTGCCACAACACAAGTGTCATTTCCCATAGTGGATGGCACGGAGGCATCAATTCCCTTATCATGTATTGTGCCACAGTGCACCTTTATTGTCATGACAACAAACTATTGCCATGACAATATTCTAAGACCAACTTTTAGAGCGATTTAAGTGTCCCACGTAGTTTTTTAAGCTACCTAATTATGGACATCGATTTTACAACCAAACACTTAATCATTTAAAAGTTTGGACGCTCGAAAATAAAATTATCCTTTTTCTTTTCAAAACACACAAGGGTGTCCAAATCTACCAACCAAGTGCTAATAGCTTTAGGATGACCTGAACCAACTCAATTGAATTACAATGTACCTAATTAAGCAATCATACATCAATAATTACATTCCAAACATAATTTGACCATTGAAGCCCCAAACTCACAAATATTAAGGGGTGGCAATAACAACATCCAACCATACCATATTTATCATTACACATACATACACCACCATAATACCACTTACACTGGTATCTTAGTGCCTTATAACAATTTCATCACAATTACATTATCATAAGTTGAGATACCCACAAGATCATATATTCTCATACAAGTGCATTAAAACAACATATGTTCCTAAGTTGACATATTAATATAAATAATTCATTACAAACTACTGAGAAAAAGAGAGAGAGGACTATACAAACACTAGCCTCTCAAATTTCAGTTGCACCTTTATTTCCTTTACCCTTGTCAAAGCCTTCAAATATAAAATATAACTACAGGAATGAGTCAAGTACTTAGTAACCAAATAATTTAATCTATTCACAAGCATACAATAATAATATATGAGTGTGTAAAGTGGTTGGTAAAGCATTTACTGGATATATATAGAAACATGATTATCACATATCAAACCACACTGCATGATCAACGCTTTTCACCTTATATATTCCTTATTTTCTTTGACTGAATCTGTGAGATATAATAAGACAAAGTCCATGTAACTAGACTAACTCAAGCTCACCAATTATGGGAGGTAGCCTCGGCCAAAAGCTCCTTTGCCTATTACGGACCACAGATATTCAAATACATAAGTGAAAGGATTCGATTACTTGATTACCTTAACTTTTTTGTGACAAAAGGGTTTCTGTGGCCAATTACCAACTTCTTAAAATTCCACTCGCTTAACAACACATGATCAATATTTAATTTACAAAATTAAACATTAATTATTAATTATAATTCTAATTAAACTTTTTTTAGCCTAATTTTAGGTACTTACTATAGTCAAATTTTCTCTTTAGTACAATTAACACTTTCAACACACTTCATTAACTTCACGTAACATCCAAACACTTAGATATAACCAATTCTTTATCTATACTACTCCCAATCTTCCAATTTTCACATAGGGTTCATCTAAACCCTTAACAAAAATTTTAAATCACTATAAATTATCAAATCTAGGTTTAAAAGCTTTATCTAACTTCTTAAGGCCCTAATTAAGCCAATGAGTTCAATCAAAACTTAAAGGAGAACGAAAATCAACACCAACACTACCCAATCTACAAAAAATTTGCATAGCGAGGGAGGAGAGTGCATAAGAAGCTTGCCTCAAGGTGTTGCTTGCTTAAAATGCCTCAAAAGCATCTAAAGGGTGAAGCAGCCACAAGCTCAATCTCCATCACCTATCACCTTTATTCTTTCCCCTCCTCTATTTCAAATGCGCACAAGTGTCTGATAAAATTAAATTTTTGCACATCCACTGCAGCGAACGGTATAGTGAGGCTAGATTGAATTTTGGACTTTACTTGATGCTTAGTCCACATGAATTTCAATCAAACTCTCTTTTAAGGCTGTCTAATAACCCATAAATCTCGTTAATCATTTGAAGACATCATTAACTCATAAATCGCTTAATTTTGCCAATTTATCTTATTAAATACTTAAATTTTAAAGTTTGAATTTAAGGATATTACAAACAACACTAAAAATATGAACCAAATCGAACCTAACAATGATCGAACTGAAATTTAACAACTCAATTTGGTCAGCTAATTCAATTTTAGGCTTCATGCTGGGCTATTAGGACTTGGGCCAATTTTGTAATTTTTTTCTATTGGAACAGACAAGACTTGTATATAAAATTGGGCTTGTAAAGTGATAGTAGCCCATTTTAATGAGAGGCTAAAGTTTCAACTTATCAAATTATACATTTACTTTTTTAAAATATAAAATTTAAAAGAATATAATAAAATAAAGTAAAGTAATTAATAAAATAAATATAATTTATAAATTAATAAATTATATATATACACGATAATTCGGTTGGTTTAGTTTATTCGATTTTAAATCTTATTAATCAAATTGAATTGATCAACCAAAATATTTTTTTAAAAAAAAATCAAGTCAAATCAAAAAACTAAACAAACCGAATCAAATAACAAAATTTCAATTCAATTTTTAGTTTCAGTTCCGTTTTACTCACCCTTACCTATTGAGAAAAAATGATAGAAAATTATTTGACATGGTTTGGATATATATAAAAAAAATTGCGAGAGGCACCAAGGAAGACAATAAAATGAATAATTTTAAGACTTGTTAAGAGGGGTAGAGTTATGTCAAAGAAAACACTTATGTAAGTTGTTGACCAAAACCTCTTAATTAAAAACATTCTTAAAAACTTGTTAAATGATAAAGAATAATGATATTGTACAATTCATGTAGCCAAGCACACCTGATGGGATAATGCTTCTTGTTGTAGTGCTAGTAGTTTTAAATTTGGCCGTATGGCATTGCATGCATCAAATGCAGCAATAGACGCTATGGTTTCTCGATTACCTTATTTCAAATGTGAGAAGTTGATGGCGTTTCTTCTCTTGTATTAAGACTTGCAGGTATTGCAATGAGTTTTGTAAACTAAATGGGAGTCCAGCTTCAAATATGATGTCCACGATCAACAGAAAGCGTGCAACGGAATCACCGAACCAGTACGCCTTGATTTTCCCCCTTTGCAATTTATGTATTATAAATGAGCATATATTGGTTTTGAAGAATCTTGTGTGGTCTGCGCGTTCACTTTAAATCTCACTGCGTGGAGCGAGCATGATGGACGCAATCCATATACTGTAGCGTGCCTTGGTGACGTTTCATACTCAACATAAAGGAGAACCCATAACCATCCTCACCCCCTACCAAAAAAAAAAAACCTCCTTGTAATAACACAAATCGGAGATTAAGAAGATGATACGCTAGGCAGCCAGGAAGTTGTACCTTACACTTTCTGCATTGATTATGAAGTTTAAAATCCGTTTGCTAATTCAAGCACAAACGCGAACGGCTAATATTCAATCAAGATTTGATTTGATAGTCAGGTTTTTTACCTATTTAGAGGAAGTATGAAAGCTGCATATATTGTTGTCCGCTCTTTAATTTCCCTTCTCAATCTCCTTCCTATTCCCTGTTCTCGTGCATTGGACGTCAAAAATATGAACTATTTTTTTCTTTTCTTTGGCCGATAGAGATGCACTGCTTCATTGTAGCAACGATACGTGTTGTAGTCAATAGAAAATCCAAGTCAACCCCCTTTTTGCAAGAACGACAATCCGTTTCCCCTAGGACGTATGATCATCTATTCTGTGTGTGTCCTTTTGCTTCCTGTATTGTGAAACGAGGGATATTGTTATCTTGCAATTGGGATGTCATTCTAATGGGCTATTGTGTGATTTAAAAATTAAACTGCAATTCAGTTTTTTTTCCTCACTGTGTTATCAAGAAGATGTTGTCATGGACTAAAGTTAGCAGTAAATTTATTGATTTGCGAAGTCAGTCGAAGAAAGCTGCAAAAGACCTCTTGTTTTATAAGACATCAAAGTGAGAATTATCTAAAGGCTTCTGTGTCCTCTTACGGGCACTTCTTGTTTGGTGGGTTGACTTCGTTAGATTATCTCAAACGAAAGAGTTCTACGCCTTTTCTGCAACGAGCACCTATAGCAAACGTATTTCCATGTCCATAAGTTTCACATAAGAATGTTAAGTTATTGTTGCCTATACAATGTCCGAGGAGAACCCTGTTCGCTCTTCTCATGTTGTCTGGCGGCATGTAGGCTAAGTAGCTCTTGCAGATACCAATCTCCGGCATTCCCAAAAGTCCCAAATAAAATAGATTGTCATGGAGAATCTCTGTGTTTCATTCGGAGGTATCCTCTGCTCTATGTATTCCTTATGCATGCTGTTCTAAATTAACTAAGTCTCGTGCTCTTTTTTATTATACATGAGCGAACTAGTTAGACCCGAATAAGGGAGTTACTTAATGCAGTTTTTTAATTAAGAAGATGTAGCCATGTAGGCAGTTGATGTTATGTGTGTGTACTTGAAAAGGGACTTAGATTAGAAGGTTTAGCAGAGCGTAATCATGCAATCAAGCTTTATTTGTCATCATAAAGTAGTGGACAGAGAAATTTATGGTAGAATTTACCATATACTCCTTGTATTAAGTCCACTATTTGGCACTGCAATGAAGCTCCAAATAGAAGCACTGTATTAATTTAACCCGAGCCTCAACTATAAATTCAGGTCTCTTCTTCCTTCTCTTTACATGCCGTGTTTATTCCTCTCCTCTTTTCTTTTGGTTCTTTCTCTGCTTTCCTAGCTTTCCGTTATTTGTTCTCTCGAGTCATCCCAAAAGCTTCCCCCATTCCTTACTGAAATTTGGTACAGAAGTCGGTACGGTGTCGTGCTTCTCGCCTCTGTTTTGCTTTGGGACATAGCTGAAATGTCTTCCTCAAGCGTGTATCAAGAGTTACAATCATGTCTGACGGAACCTCGTGTTCTGTGGATGAAATTGGTTCCACCCTTGGAATGGCCTTCCCTTTCACAGTCCGAGACCTACCCACTTACCCCTCCCACCACCACCTGTCAAAAAGACTCGAAACAGGACAAAAACCCAAATGCTGACACGGGCGGCTGGACTTTCCTTCAGTCTCTCTGCAACAAAACTGACAAGTCTGAGGCCGAAAAAACCTATATCCACCCTCTGGTCAAGCGCTCTTCTTCCTCCCTCAGTGCCAAGAGCTTGGAAATGTGCACCGAGAGCTTGGGCTGCGAGACGGGGAGCAATGGAAGCGAAAGCAGTGATGACATTGCTCTGTTTTCCTCAGAGAGTAACACTTCCTCTTTTGCTACACCGGAGAGTGATGGAAATTGGGTTTCAAAAAGATCGAACCGCAGCATTACTGAATTCCCACCTCCACTGTCTTCGATGAGTAAAAAGGGCGGGGTTCAAGTCAGGACTCGCCGTGAAGATGGCCGTCTCATCCTGGAAGCAGTGGCCGTCCCTTCTCATCCTTCCTGTTTCAAAGCGGAGCGCAGAGATGGCAGGCTCAGGCTCCAGCTTCTGTCTACCTCCAACCATTCTCTCCACGGTGACCACGAACCAGCAGAAACAGAGGAAGAGCAAAAAGGAGGAGGAGCTGAGGAAGAAGATGACGGTGACGAGGCGGAGGAGTATTGGGAAGGGAATGACGAGAATGAGGAGGACGAAACAGGAATGAGAAAGATTCCAAGGCCAAGCAGGTGCAGTGAAAAGGGGAACATGAGCAACCAAATGCTTGATTGGGAGCCGTTCTGGGTGGCCACTTGATGAATCGCAACTTTTCTCCCAGAATTGACTATTATTGTTGTTACGTTTTCTGCGGTTGCTGTCGTAATGATCTTGGTTTTCGATGTCCTACTATGTTTGTTTGTTTTTTTTTTTTTTTGAATCATGAATGCCAGCTCCCACGGGACAGGAAGATTAGTGCTTGCGATAAGAAATTGTATTTATGGTAGTTAATATAGTTATTAGTTACTTTGGACAACGTCCTAATATTGGTTTCTGTTGCGGTGTTGGTTTTATGAAGAATGAGGTGAATTGCGAATACTGAGAGTGCATAATGAATAAGTGAAAGACGTGCAGGGCAGAGAGCGTACAGCAGAACTTAATTTGAAAAAATAGTACTAAAAAAATATCCAACAGGTTATTACTGTCTGAGCTCATCGCTTTTAAACTATTTAAATTTAATTTGGATGGCTTAAATTTATAATTTTTTTTACTTTTTTTAAATATTTTAATGATATAGAATATAAAATAAAGTCAATCCCTTGATTATCAATTTTTCAAAAAAAAATCTTATTTAAAAATACCCATTGAAAAAATATAAATCTAAACCGTATAGATTATATCAAAACAATCCAAAGGTGATAAGCACAAAACTTATTCTGAGTACTATCCATGTGAAGAAAGAAGGAATAGTGAAGAGTTAGAGAAATGAAATGAAGGAGAGAAGAAAATGTTGGAGGTTAGAGACCTAAACAGCTTAACTTGAGATCTCGTGTTCAAGTTTTAGAGCATGTAACACTACAGCTGAGCATGCAAGGCACATTTCGTCAGTGATATTCAAGAAACCCTTTCAAAGAGAGCCTCACCTAAACAGAAATTTTAATTAGTTTAAAGTGGATCGGACAAACAATAAACTTAATACACCCAAATGTTTTAAGACATCGAGTGTGAAAGCCAAAAAAAAACCAAAAAGAAAAATGCCGGAGGGGAGGAGGGTGAATAGGGAAAGAGAGAGAACATGGGAGGAGAGGAGGCCATGGCACGAGAGTAACATGGAGAGAAGGGTGCATGTGGGTATGATAGAGTGAGTGAAGGAGGGAGTGAAGAGTGGAGAGTGAAGTTAGGCGAGAAAGAAGGGGTAGGGGCTGGGCGCGCTCTCTCCACCAGCACATGCACCACTTGCTCTCTCCGATGCCATGTGCCCTTCCGGAGAGGTATATACCACATACCACCTGCTCCTCACTTCCCCTACTTGCTACACTTGGCCACCATGATTTCACTCTTCTGTTTTATCTCCTCTCTTCATATAATCACGTGTTTGCGCCACTTTCATGTGATTCCATCACCCACTCTCACCCCGCCTTCATCGCCTGCTTATGTGTCCCTCGCCGCTCCCCTCCAGGTGGATTTGTCGCCCTACCCACTTTGACTATCGTCCCCTCTTTATTTCTTTCGCGAAATATCGCTATTTCTAATTCTACCCAAGAATTTTAAAAACCAAAAAAACCATTCATAAAACTATTTTAAAATTCCTTAAAGTTGTCAATTTGTTATATTAACTTTTTTAATTACTGCTGGTAGACTAATTCAATCAACCACTACAAAGTAATACTTACCAAATCGAGTAAAATATATGAAATTCTAAATTAATTTCATGAAATTTTTTTCTATTTAGATAAGCAGTACTCGAGATTGATTTCTCTTTCTTCCCTCACATGTAACTGGGTCCCACTTTCTCGATTTTATTTTTTATTTCTCAAAAAGGATTAGAGAAGTCAGTCATGTGATCAGTTAGACTGAGAAAACATTGCGGCTTTTTGGTTGCATGCAGGGTTGGTCTTTTTGTTGTTACCAACGCAAGTTTTATTCGAATCTGTCACGACAAGAATCCATTTTTTTAAGCTTTTATAATTTTCGGACCTAATCTAAACTACTTACTAGTACATTGCATTAATTATATTCCACACGGCTTTTGTTTCTTTTCTACCCAAAAAATATTTTAAAAAACTTGAACCCTTAATCGTGAATTATCGTTTATATCTGGAGCCATATATACATGAGTCAATCAAAAGCAAACTCTCGACATATAATTATATAATTCAATGCCAAATGAAAGAATCGCGTCCTGATGCTACCGCTCGTTTTTTTTCCGAAGGCAGAGCCAGTTGCATTTATAATACCCCAGGCGGAATAAGCACAAATTTATATTTATTTGCCTTCTGAATATTTGTATATGGTGGGTATATATTAAACAATGAAATTATAAAAGGACAACTTGAGGTGTTGTGGTAGTCCCCAGGCCAATCGGCGAAGGACGCTGAAAGGGAAGATACGATTCTCATTGTTTGACGACTATAAATGCTGGTGTTGATGATGCCATAGCTGCTTTTGTCTGCCAATCCAGGCTAGGATTTTGTACAAAAGCAAAAAAAAAAAAAAAAAAAATCTGGGCTTCGATTTCTGTTTGGTTCTTGTATACATTGGCTCCTGTTTTCGGATGTCTTTTTGACTTCCCACTCTTCCCCCCCTCCCTTTTTCGCGCCTTTCTCAACTCCATACATCGTACCAGTAAACGGAACAATTCCACGTTTCAATTCTTGTTTTGTTCATTTGTACATTTGAATCTGTTCTGCCTAGTCCTTGTACTGTATCTCCTATTCAAATTAGTTTTTCTGTCTTTATATATAAAAGATTTTTTAAAACTTTTTATTTCTAAATATAAAATATTATTAACATATTTTTAATGAATAAATAATTTTATCCTTATTAAATTAAAAAAAATCAGTACTCTCGTTAACTTATTTTTAAAAAAAATTATTTTTATTTATAATAATTAAAGATAAAATAAGAATATTGCTATGATTTTAATTAAATAATTAATGATTTGCTTAAAACATTTTATGCATAAAAATGGTGAGATTATATTGCAGGTGACATCACCTGATGTAACCAACAGTGGAATCAAGTCCAGTCACTTAAATCATCATTAATTGACCAGGAACCAACTCTAGTTTTTACAAGCCGTGGCATCAAGTGTTTAGAATTGCATTGTCTCTCCTCCACAAAAGTGCACCTATATTTCTCCCCTTTATAATTGATGAATTATTCTCCTCGCAAACTAAGATCATTGCGTACACTAACTTCAAGACTTGATGATTACCAAGGTGGTTGTAACGTCATTGCGATTGCACGTATGTGTATATATATATCTATGATAAAAGTTATCCTGTCTATGTCAGCTCTGATTAAAACACACATACAAGATTAAGGTTTAGATGCGCAGTCGAATTGTCATGGTCAGTTTTTGAGAAGACTGGCATCTCTAGGATATAGACTAAAATTAGGTTAGCAGGCACAAGAACATCAGAATCTGTGGGGAACAAAATATTCCCGTCTAAGTATGGTGTTTAGGATCTTATGGAGGTAGTTAAATACATTGTTTCACTATGGTGTTCTGTTGTCTCGCAGTCGGTGATTTTGCATCCCAGTAGGTAGGTGACATGATCTGACAATGATGTATGCAATTTGTTGCACGAATTCGGGATGCTTCCAACGCACCCCTCAACTTGCCATGTATATGGCTAACAGCTCAAATTGTATTATCTCTGTTCTCCCTTTAATTTTTCTTTTTTAACATGCGCGATGTGAAGTACCAGTTTAACTTAGACAACCGAAATTATTTCCCACGTTTTAAAAAAGTCAAGAGAAGAGTTCGCTAGTAACGATATACTGTGACTCATTTTCTATAGGCCTAATAATTTCATATTCATCCAGGTGATTCCTGTAAATATCCTCAAGGAGCGCCATTACTCGCTACAAAAGGGTGACCAGTATCCTCGTCATTCTCAAAGACTCACACATCTTTGTTGTCCACTAACCGTGGACAGCAAAGAAAGCACATATATACGAAGAGATGGACGAGTCAACAAAGATTGACATTTCTCCCTCTAGCTAGCTAGAGTAATACGTGGATCTTATATATGCTAGCTGCTCGATCTATTGATATATCTAGCGTGGTCCAATCCTTTAATATCCATAGATAACGCCTAGCTCTCTCTATACACATCAGTCGATACATGCATGCACCGGCACAAGACAAATAAACATGACGTGTTAAGTTAATGGTGTTTGTTATGGAGGACCATTTGAACACACGCGTACCTATATCTGCTATATGGCCAGCAACTTCTCCACAATATGTGCCGTAATTACTCTTGTTTCCAAATCCATATACGGTCTCGCCACAATATAATCGTGGTCTTCCACTCACATCCCTCTCGGTCTTGTATTTTCTCACCTTTTCAACTCCATTGTTCGCTACTTGTAGTTTTCATTCATAACTGTGAGCAATGGGTGGTCTTTATCCTTTTTCTTGTTACTTGCCACATTTAAGCACATATATTGATGGCTTTCTCAATTAAATTAACGCCCCTCGTTTTTCAAGTAGCTAGGTAGCAACTAGATATACGTGCCAAATCTTTCACGACAACGCAGGCTCTAGAGCTCATGAAGGTTAAACTCAGGGCCGAAATAAGAGTGGTCGGGTAGAGTCGACAGGAAATGAATGGGATGGCTTGCACGTAAAAGACATGCACTGAGACCCACAAAAATAGGCCCTGAGGGTAATTATGGTTGAGAAGAAGAGGAATATACATACAAGGCCATGGCTGGTGGGGGTGGTGGTTGACAAAACTCGCGTTTTCAAGGGGATTTTTGATGAAATATCATCACTAATTCGCATCCCTTGACGGAAGGATAAAATGTAGTGAAATGAATCATTGTCGGTGTTGCTCAAAAGCCTTGTTTCATGGAGAGCGGGCGTTGCGCGCCTAAGCCGCTTGCTAATTATCTTCTTGCGGTTGTAAAAGTTTCGAAGCATAGTGCGCATAGATATAGCTATCATATAAAACTTGGAGAGAATTAATTATGAGAACGTCATGGTATGGTCAGCTATGTAATCATTGATAAAATGTTGTGAGTAGAGCCCATTAAAAAATCTTGTCATCACCAAATAATCTAGCAAGGATATTCATATCCTTCATATCTACGCACACGTGTGCGTTGGATGGACCCGAAAACGACGCCGTCCGCACAATGCAGCTGCAGGATATTCACGTAAGCCCCACGCTTCCTTTTTGTAGGGATTAAATACAAACACTTGCACACATCCATCCATCCATCCCTTCCCAGCTCATAAAATAAGTGACCATTCCACCGTAGTAAACGGATTATATATAAGATGAATGATGAGTGACCGACCACGAATT